CGTTTGTTACGAAATCAGTGTATTTTGTTTTTCTCCCTTAAATTGTTTAACTTTCGAATGATCAGGTCAGACAGACTTCTAGTACTTTTAAAAAACTATCTAATGGTGGTATTTTCATTTAAAAAATAGCCAAGTTCAAGTTAGAAAAGTGCATAACAGACGGAATTGGGACCAGTTCTGAAAAATCGATTTTTTTAAATCCTGGTTCCGGATAGATCGGGAAGTCCGGTGAGATTTTTGGTAAAGTGAAAAACGAAGTTTCATCATGAATTCAACCTTTCGGAAGCAGAAATGAACCTGTGTTTCGACGCAGGCACAAATTCTGCCAAAAAAATACTTAGACGGCCTGGCAGTCGTCTCCTTCAGACCAGAAGGTTCAGAAAACATTTTCTACCTAATTAAATCGAGAGGCACATCACTATTATCCATTTCAATGAACAATGAAGTCGGTTGTAAGTTGAATAACTCCGGATAGGAAGCAGCTAGAGACCTGCGGTTTTCAACATTTGAAAGAAGATAATATTCTTTATTAAGAAATATCGAAAGCTGGTTGGTCAACAATTGACCAATCAGGTGAGTTTTCGCTTGACATATTGGGCACTGCCTGGAGAAAAGATTCTCCGTTGGATTTGAGATTATAATACAACCATTCGATAGAGAAAATTGTTCTCTATTGATGTACACAAAGCCCAGCTCTTTAGCTCGTGCTCTTCAGGAAATATAAGTAGTTTCCTGAGAGCCCCGATTTCAGCCAGCTGATCTTGAATCACTCCAAAAAACCTCGAAATATAGATAATTGACCATGCTGAGTCGAGTGGTGATATTTATTTTCAGTTTCGAAGCGACTGAAATCAGTAAATTAAATATTTTTGAAATTTTTATATTCGGATGTTATGTCGCGCTATGCGGCGTATTGAATCGATATTTCAATTTTGAAATTTTTTTGAATCAATTTGAAATTTTATCACAGATAGAACTCATGGTCTATCATCACAGAAAAATATTTCAGCTCGATAGTCTTTGCTGTCATCGAGATATGGGTTTCTGAGTGCGTCAAGTTTTCCGTCCGTCATCCTTGGTTAGACCGTACTATAGCTTATTTTGTAACCCTTTCAATTCTGCATTTTTCTAAGTACAAACTATTCCTAATTTTTATTTGTGAAAGAAACTGTGATTATTTTTATATATCACTATGGGAAAAAATCGAGATATCCATCCAGTATTTAGCCAATAAATTTATGAACGCAAACTTTTAAAACAATGAATTGCAGTTCATTTTGAAGCTCAGAAAATTCTCTATCTTTTGATATATAAAACATTCTGGGTCTCAGCAGATGAGTATAAGAAATATCCTTTTAAAGCCTTAAGATATGTGAAAATCATGATATCTGTCGAGTATTTCGACAATTGTCTTATATGGGCATATTTTTGAAAAGCTTATTAACTTATTTTGAAGCGCAGAAAATTCTCTATCTTTCTATATACAAAATATTCCGTGTCTGAGTAGACGCGTCAAAGAAGTATTCCTTTACAGTTGTTAGGATGGGTGAAAATCATGACACCTGTCTAGTATTTTGACAATTAGTATTTGTAATCTAGTATTTGACAATTGTTCTGTGTGTGCATATATTTGAGAAGCTTGTTGTGAAGCACGAAAAACACTCTATCTTTCTATGTATGAACTTTGGTCAAAGCTTTGAAATCGTACGAAAAATTTGAGACACAAAATGAATGACCTTCATTGAACTGGCGACGAAAACTAGTAAGAAATAATGTTTTCTAAGAGATCAGGAGCAATTTTTGAGAGTCAGAAGTGTTGGGAAGTGAAAAGGGAAGCATTTCTGGTCATTTTCACCCAAAATCATATCGAGCCATTTTCTGGCACAAAACGATTCCCATCCATTCAGCTTTTACTAAGTAACTCGATGAGCTCTACCCCATCAGACCAAAGAAAACGAAAAATAATTTTGCTCATATTTCAGGCACCCTACATGTTCGTTTCGTTAGGACCTGGTTCTTCCAGTTGATATAAGCTTTATTCTGTTAGAATACAAGCTGAAAAATATTCCATTATAGTATTTTAAACTAAAGTATCGAATAACACAAAATCAGCTTTACACGAATAGAGATTCGAACACATGTACTTAGCTTTGCAGTTAAGGGCCAGGGAATAGTAGATGAACGTTACTTGTTTATGTATGTTAGAATTCAGATACATTCGCAGTTAAAAAGTAATGAACAACAATTTTTTTACTTTTCATAATATTTATTACTACAATTAACAACAAAATCTATCAACTAAATCAAGATGTACCAGATCAACGGATTCATAAAACAGATAGTCAATAGAATGGGAATTATTTAATACTGACGTTGTTGCTATTGTTCTCAAAGACAATAAAAGTGAATCGCGCAGTTTTTTCTACCAATGTCGTTTCCTTATAAATAACACAAAATAAGTAGTTTCAGTTGAACACGGGTAAAAGGACCATTAGTGTGAGCTGGTCATACCTTTTATTTATTTTCTTTTATTGCTCACACAAGTTGGAACGTCGCTTTTTAACTGCGAATATATCTGAATTTCTAACATGTATAAACAAGTATCGTTCATCTTCGACTCCATGACCCTTCACTGCAAACCTAAGTTTATGTGTTCGAATCTCTATTAGTACTAAACTGATTTGTGTTCACAGGCAACGCTCATCTTCGATTCACAGACCATTGACTGAAAGAACCGACTTAAGCATCAGCGACAGGAAGAAAACAGCCCAGACTTGTCTTTGGTCCGCCTTCGCAGCTGCTCATTTGCTGATGCACATGACTTCAATTTTGAAGAAGTTCATAACAGCGACTATCAATAACTCACTCCCTAACAGGCTTTAGTTAATTCAAAAGCTTGTCATAGTTTGCCAAGAGACTCTGTGGAAAATTTATAGAGGGTAATCATCCTTGTTGAGTATAAGAGCAGATAATCAGTCACATCATATAGACAAGATAGATGTAGTAGAAAGACAGATCTAGCCTCAATTCTGTTAAAAAACTATCACAATTAACGCTCGAACATCATATATGCTGTTTGTGAGATGACTGAACGAAAGCAGAAAGCATTTAATTTACAAAAGTTTTCGATAACGTATGTAATTAGTGTAATTAGTCAACCCTTCAAAAATCCTCTTTTTTCGTTAGAAAATTTTTCGCAGACCTCGGGAAAATCCACTGAACATCTCAAAAACATATCGACTGGATTTGTCGACCATTTTTAACTACATAGGTATTTCAAAACAAGATTTGAATGAAAATTCGAAGTATTTTTCGAAAATGCGTCCTCTTTACGATATAGCGCCAAAAAAATTGATTTTCTCAGTAAGAAAGTAAAATGATAAAAAAACAATACGTATATTTTTTCCTGGCTAGCTGAGGGTTAGAATGAAATAAAATAATTGGTTTCATCTTTGTTTCATCTTTAGGATGAGGGTGAGGTTGGGTTGCGTATAGGGGGTGCGTTTTATAGTTCTCCACGCTTCCATGGAAACAAGTACACAAGTGAATGACTGATTTTACCGGCATTCTGACTGGCGACATTATGGTCTTCTATGAGGCTCGCGGACCTCTAAATAAGTACAGTTTTGTTAAATAGAGGTTAAAATAAAAGGAAAATCATTTAAGTGGCTGAAATTTTTGGTTAAAGAGTTTTATTTGAATTGTAGTGCTCGTTGCAATCTGCGCTAACTATCACACCGATGAGTCATCATACACACTCCACCAACTAAAATACAACAGTGACTTCTGTCGCAGGATATACAGACAATTAATATTTTATTTTTTATAATCAAAAAGTCAAGTGTGTTTGTCAGTTTTACAACTTTATCAATAGAGTCTGAGATGTTTGTGTACTTATTTTTAAATCATATTATTCCAGAGATCACGATACACGAACATTTGGAATTCTCGTTCACCAATAATCTTTCATGGGACACTTCTGTTAATGATACACTAGGTGGAATGCATGCAATCAGTGACGTAGTATTATATGCAAAACCTTTAGTTTATTTATCATCAGTTTCGATCATAAGCTGTATTCTTTAATAAGGGAAAGAAATTTACACAAATTACAGACACTTCAGTATAACACAGTACTAACAGTGAGTGAAGCTATAAGAAACAGCGTGGATGTACGTGAAAAAATATTATGCAATGCACATCTAATGCCAAATCTTTTTTCCAAATGCGGTATCAAACTGTTTTTTACAAGGTGGAAAACAAAAATAACTCTTCATGAATAAAAGTATTTGTTTTATGATTTTATATACGCGTCGGTTACTCTTTCATCGTAGAGTTTGTTGCAGGATGCGTACACGATCATTTATATTAAAAAGATTAACAGACAACTGCCAGGGAAATAAGCATTTGTCTGAATCAATTGGTATTTCATATCGCTTATTCGAACGGTTCTTTAATAACTGAATATATTTAGCTTCACAATTTATGATTAATTCTATAACATCATTCTGTTTGATATCGCCATCATATCCAGCATAATTACTTTGATCGGAACCATTCAGATAAACGTGAGCTGTACATTGACCCCAGCCATAGAAAGATGGTGAACTGTATGATGCCGATGCCATTTGTGTTGATTGAGATATAATTCCGAAAGATATCCATTGATTATTTAACATTTTTTCTATTTTGAATTTAATACGATTAATGCCACAACAATATAAACTTCTTCCGCGGACCTCACAATGTCCACGCTTGTCAACAAGAATAGCCAAAAGACCATTTTCTTCGATTTTAATTGTGTTGCTGTGCACTCTATCAAATTTTTCCACTATCTAAGAAAAAAGTCTGTTACATTTACATCCTCGAGCTTTCAATAGAACGCTGTGCGTTTGAGAGGACAGGTAGGCTAAGTTTTTTTTCTTAAAAGTAGTGATAATAAATATGCAACTAAAAGAACAACCTAACATTATTTCGTCGTTTGATTATTTCTACAGCACTTATGAAAATGGATATTAAATTGTGTTTCGTGTTTAATACCCTCCACTCTCTCATTGTTTTAACTAATTTCCTCCAAAACTTTATCCTTTACTTGACAGAAACCACTTAAAGTTCTGAGTCAAAATAGCAGTCGTCTGGTAGGAAAAACATTTCTTAGGTTTACCGGTAATATAAATGGTTTTATTTGTTTTTCTAATGTATTTAAACACTGCTCATGTAATTCTTTCTGCTTTACATGTTCTTGATCAAATGCATCTTGTTGATTTTTTAACTTCTGGTCCATCGTTTCTAAAAGATTATTCAAAGAAAAGGGATGAATTTATTATTCATATTCATTTGGAAAACTATTTATTTAGTTTCTAGAGATCTACGATTTTCGCGCTTGTACAGCTCAAAATCGAGCTACATTTTTAATAGAAATAAGACTTTAAAAACTGTTTCTTTTGGTGACTTTGCGCATAGCGGAGTCCTCTAAACAAGACATGGTTAGATAAAGCATACTGCTTTTCCTCATCATTAGGCTTTTTTAAGACCACCAGGAAAATCAGTTTTTCCAAGCTTTTTTCGTCTAAGGATGTGGTCAGATCTTGACACTCTACATAAACAAAGACGCAAATCATAGAACATCAACACTTTAAAATAAAAGATACTATCTACTTCATCAAGTTTTGCCCTTTAATAGAGAACTAGCAAATAAGGAGCTATCTCTTTCCACATAAGATATTCGATGTGCGGAGATTTATTCCTCTCGACGCGTCAACAGAAAAGACAGAGAATAGAAAAAGATTCACATGAGAAAAGAGATATCTTCTTATTTGCTAGTTCTCCAACGAAATTTTATAAATAAAAGGAAAAAGATATTTCTTTCTGTTCTAGTCAACAGTAAAAATTGTTATATAACCCGATGAGAAAAGGCCATTTCAAACTCTATTATCTGTTGGACTTTTAGATAGTGTTGATGCCTATGTACTTTAATGATAAAATTCAAACCTTTTAATTGTTGAATTTCTTGTTTGAATTCAACTTTTAGTTGCTGAACTTGATCTTTTTGCTGTTTAAGTTGCTGCTTTAAACATTGTACTTCGTTGTGATTCTTCATATCTTTTCGTTTGAAAATTGTTTCACATGTTGAACACATTAAATCTATTTGATCGCATTGCTGTTGATGTTGTTTTAAGTCTTTTAGTAATAGTTCTTGTTCACATCCTTCACATTTCTTTAATTGATAATCACATTGTTGTTCATGTTTTTCTAATGCTTCATAAGAAGTTACAACGAAGCAACCATTCTGAATATAAGAACACTTAATTTGTAGTTTTGATAATGTTTTCAAAATAGCTGCTATACATTTACGTTCTTCATAATGACAAGTGAATGGACATTTGTTGGGCTGTATTTGTTGCCATTGATTAATACATTCAGAACAAAATGAATTTTCGCATGTTTTACATGTAACTGGCTTCCAGAGAATCATGTGACATATTGAACATACAACAAAGTCTTCATCAAAACTATCTACTACACGATCAGTTGTTATTGAGTTGTCAAGTTTAAAATTTTTGTTTCTATTATTATTCATCTTCTTGAAAGGAAAGTGTGCATTCTACAGAGTATGTATTTTTTTCATCGCCAAAAATTACATTTTTTGATCACCAAATTTCTTTCTATCGAAATGATCACCAAAAAATTACATTTTTGATCACCAAACCAATTAAAGAGAATTTAAATTAAAGAAAATATATACAAGAAGAATATATACTAATTTAATATCAAATTAATTAGTGAACAGGCAATAAAAAGAATATTCG